CCAAATAATAAGTAACCTTCAAGTATTAGCAGATAATACATAATATTGCTAAGGTTGTGTTACGTCCAAGTATAATGTAATTCGAATTACCTTTTCGCTAACACATGTAAACAATACTTCGGACTTGGCGTCATGCCAGTTTACCGAACATAACTTGTGTGTGCGGTTTTGTTGTACTCCGCTAACGGGCATACCGCAACATTGTGTTTCCTCAAATGACAACACACCGACCGTAATAACAGATACAATTAAGCCAGCAGCATAGACAAGGTAGAGAGGCCACCAGTGCAAGATTTTATCGCTTCCACTTAGAACAATTTGCAAGGGCTCACCGATTCCTTCACGGCCGGATGCCTCCCAAAGGATACCTTTTGATCAATAGCTGTATATAAATTTACTGAGCATATGTCCTTCTGTGTTCATAGGAGCGCACCGTTGGTCTTTGTGCCTTATTTATTGGGACCTCGAAACTTCGGAGACGTCAAAATTTCGAACTTCAGAGTTTTGCTGAGGAATTTAAAGATATTTCAAAGGGCCGTGATCATGGCGCTTGTAACAGTGCCGAAATATCGGGTACTCACAAAAACAAGGTACATGGTAGAAATACCGCTTATAATTATAATGTTAGTGACCATGAAAATTAAAAACAAGTTTTACTATTTAAACAAACTATAGTATATAACAAAAGAGTCTACGTATCAAATCTAATTAGGTGATGGTTGGAAAAATTCACGTGGTAATGCTTTCATAAAACTATTACTTCAAGTACTTTGTTGATCCCTTTTCTACAACACGGATGATTCTGCTATATAGGTACTTATTTAAATTATTTTAACGACCGATTTACTTTTGTTACCATAATTATTTTTTTATACATAATAGATATTTTTTATGTTGTAAGCTTCCTGATCATCACTTGTTACAATTCCATATATTTTCTTATGAACTTTTTATAAATATAATAATGTCCTTAAAAGGGCATGCTAAATAAATCTTATCGCAAAACGGTCGAATCAAGACAATCTCGAACATCGACATCTGCCGAGACGAAATTCGGAAAACATTCTAATCTGGATCTAATTGGCTATAGAATCAAAAGCTGTGTTCCTTTCACGGACGCAGCTGTGTTCACGACTGGCGAGGCACGGCACAATACCTACCTACGGTGGATCTCAAAACGAATTAGACGCTCGGGAGAATTCTGCGGATTAACCCTATACAATTAAGACGGGGCGCTTTTCGCCATTGACGTATTAGCCTGAGGATGCCCCCGGTTTTGTGCTTGAGATGTTTTGATTCGTAAACGCCACTGAGCGTCTTGTTCGCCCATTATATTGTTCCAGAAAGATAAGGAGTATCGCTTGTGTTTTTGGCGCCGTTCTTTTGAGCGCACTTGAGTTTCTATTATTAAAATGTTTCGAATTCGTACGGTAAATTTTGGTTTGTTTATTTTAATTTTTACTTAAGACTAGTCTGCTTTCATTTTGAAGAAAAACAAAATGCTTTGTTCGATCGAAATCCGTCTTTTTTTTAAGAAGGACTCCAGATCTCACTAGCAAGTCTAATGTTGAATACAGGCTGGCTACTTTTCAGGTGGTAAGAAATTCGCCTACAACAGTGTCTAAAACTGCTCTGCCCATTTCTAAAACGAAGTTTACTGCAAGTGCACATTTATTTTCAATAAAAAAAGATAAATACTGTTAACCAAGTAGAAACAAAAAATGTTATGACCCAATGATTAATATTAAGCATCGTACGTAACAAATACTTCCTCAATATTGAATATAAAATTAATCGCCACAAATAACAGATAAATATCTTTATGAAAAATTGACGACTGTCCAGAAATCGGCATGTTGAACGGAATGGCTGGGGTGAAATGAAAAAAACAAATATACGTCACTTATCAGTGGATCTATCTACCTGTCTGTTACTATTACTAACATACATGATGAAGTTTAAAATGCCTTTTTATTTCCATAACTGAGAATTAGTTGTTAGAACTTGGATATTAGAAAAACAACAACATGTACCTATTCGTAATATTTTGCAACGAATGAAAATAAAGCAAATATTAAGTAGACAGAATCTCCTTAGTAAAAATTTGACGAAACGACACTCGAGATTTATAAAAAAGAAAAATGTATAAAATCAACCAGCCAGTCGCTGTCACGTTCCAATTTCAAAAATATACATCACGCCGTATCAGGAGTCAGCTGTTGTCAAAATTCTATGCATACCGAGCGGCGACCGTCGTTATTTCAATTACCCACGCCCTCCGTCAAAGACAAAAGACCCTAACACGAAAAAGAGGCGAAAAAAAAGAAACAAACGCTCATCGGCCGAAAAAAAAAGTCCCTATCTATGATTGGATCGCGGTCGTGTAAACGCTGCTTCAAGTGTTTCGTTACCTCAAAGCACCGGCTTTCGTTTTCAGTAGCGTTTTTATAAAGACGAGGGTTTTTGGCAAATAGAATATTTACTTTTGGTCCATTTAAATTAGATTACGACAGCCACTTCGGAGATATACTATTTAACGGCGGATCAGACTTGTTAAAATTTAGAAAAAAATACATATTGTATGCTGTCTCTACATAATGATAAGGAATGTCCAGTTATCATTTTTTTTCACACGAAAAATATGAAAGAATTCACTGTAATCTCGATATTGATGAGATGTAAGTGGCCAGAAGGCTAAAATAAATCATTTCAGTTATAATTACCTATAATCCTTTATGCGAATGAAAAAGTGGTTGGAGTCTATCTAGATTTACTGGACTCGCTTCACCATATGGGGAGTGTTGTTATGTAAATGTATAATAAATACTTGTCTACATTTGGCATAGTGTTGAAATGTTCATGTCAGTCGAGATCACCAATACTGGGTGGTCGTAGGCAGCAGGTAATCGTTAGATATCACGAACGTATAAATAACATTAGCTAAATTACAGTGCGCATTTCCGTTTCCAGCAGTTCGTTATTATTAAATTGCTGATGGTTGTTTAGCGTATTAGGAACCAGGGAAGATTCACATGGATATTTTTAGATTCCAAAGGGTAGAAACGGGACACTATTACTAAGACTCCGCTGTCCGTCTGTCTGGCACCAGGCTGTATCTCATGAACCGTGATAGCTAGACATAAAATAATGTTTTAGGGGAACTCCCATACAACAATCGTGGTTTTTGGCGTTCAAACGGCAACAACTTGAAATATTAAATATTTATTTGCATGTTCACTTCAAAATTTATAATGAAATCAAAATAAATATTTAAGACAGGCGACCCAGACAACGTGACGTGATTTTTTTGCTGTTTTTGGTACGGAACCCTTCGTGGCGAGTTCAACTCGCATTTGGCCGGTTTTTTTATAAATGCTACTGGTATTGTTTTGAATGACTATAAGGCAAGAGGCTTAGTACTAATTGATGCTAAGCAAAAAGATGCGATATTTTTAGTCTTCCTGCCTGATGACGTGATTAATTGTTGCGGAAAAGAATTTGACAGATAGTTCTGTAAATCCGATATTTGTTTCATGAGGGATAACTGGGATAACTGAGAGCACATCTTCGCCTCTCTGCAATTACCTTAAAATATTTAGGTTGCAAATTCAAATTTCCAGATTGACAATAATAATAATAAATTGAGTTGCCTTTAATATGTATGTAAGTACAGTAACCGAAAAATGGCAGATCCGTATTCGTACATCCAAAGTTTCTATGGAAATTAAGCAGTGTTCCTACCGGATTTAAGAACAAACTGGCTTTTACCATTGAAACTTTGACATGGCAATACAAATACTTTCTCGTTTGTTTGTGCTAGGGGTACAGTACCAGTTAATATGATTAACCAAAAACAATTTAATTGATGTGTAACATCTTTCCTGCAATTTTATGGGAGTGATTTCGTGAAATGGGACGGAAGTGTGTAACAGGAAGTCGCGAAAGGGCGCGCTATTTGAGTTGATTTTAGAAGATAATGTTCAAATGGCATAGTCCTTTTGTAGTAGGTTTTTTTCTTTTTTTTACTAATATATGGTGAGGTTTCGAATGTTACACATCATACGCGACTACTGTAAGGCTCGCTCGTTTTTTATAACGTAGTTACGGTTGCTTTTCCAAAAAGGGACCCTAGCAAGGCAGCGTTGAATTGTTTAATACAGTATAATTCAGTATATAATTCGTTAGCAATCAATGAGGTGGGTATAATTCATTCGAAATCAATTTGCTGCGTCTCGTATAAAAAAAATATTATAAACAGTTGCGTCGGCGGCAGCGCGACGAATGCGCACTGAAAGCTGCTAAAGGCCGTACGATGATGGGTGCCCAAAGTAAATAGCCGTAATAACCATGGCCCACACAATGCCCCCCCGCCGGCCGACGACAGGGGTCCGACCCACGATCCTCTTTTTACCCCGTGTTAATTATAATATCACCCACATTATAAACTTTTTGCTTAGAGCCAAAAAAAATATAATAGGCCCTCAGGACCGATTGCTACCTTTTCGTTTTTTTCCCCTGAGTTTTGACATCGAAGCTCATTGTTCGGTTTTGTAGACACGCTATTAATAAATGGTTAAAATGATACCTACGCACTATGCTAACGATAACAAAAGGACATCACATCACATAGACATCAAAAGCGATAGATTTTGAAATGGGTGGGTATATTTTTTTCTTTAGACCACAAATTGGTGCATATTCAATGAACTTATAGTTTCTTACTAGATAACGATATAATAAAGTAAGTATGTTACTAAAAAACAATGATTGTTTGATTAATATTATCTTTTTATAAATAGTTTTCAATTGAAAAAGTTCTATCATATGACCTACACTTTATCTCCAATGATGGGTACGCGCATATGGCTTGTTAAAACACTGAGATCTCTTTCCACAAGTCAATAATCTAGAAAATGACCATGCTAACCTTTGAAGATAAGAAATTGTAAAATCAAACAATCCACCCATTTCAAATTCTTAACAAAAAAGTCGGTACTCACGAATCCGTGTTTGTCGCTGATGTTGTTGGTCAACTTCAGCTTGTGGAATGAGACCACTTTCTGCATCCACTGCTCGCCCGTGCTGGGCGAATCGGGGTGGATGTACATCCTCTTAGGCATTTCAGGGTCAGCTTTGCCGGCGACCATCCACCGGCTCCGGGAAAAGAAGAGAACGATTAAGAACATTGCACTGTAGACCTCAAAATCTACCTTTTCATTGAAATTGATCTGTGAATAACTTCATCTATATAAGGTAAAGGTTCACCTATTAGTAGGCGATCACCTTAATTTATGGATATCTGGGCTCGATTTCAAATACACAGAATTTGTAACAGTAATATTGAATGTGTCTTAAAAAGAAAAGAGAACTTAAATAATCTAATCAATATGTTCTAAGAAACTAACAAAGCAAATAAGTGCCGACTAGTTGTTAAATTACTATCAGTTTGCATACTGTTGTGTAACAAGCAAAAAATCAGGTAATATCTACTTCATTAACCCAAGGTTTTCATGACATCATTTATACGACCATGAGGGCAGACAGGTGCTTGCATGAATTATGATGGTATCAACGTTTCTCCAATTACTACAAGCGCAACAATAATTTAATTGACTAACATTGTTCTACAGGGACCATGCATCGATATCGGTAGCACATGAAAAGTACATGCTGTGAGTAAATAGTTTAAGGAAAAGCTTTTACTGAATACGGCGGGTAAAGTGCGCAAAGCGATGTGAACGAAACGAGATCTGCGTTCGATGAACTAAAAAATGACATGTGAAAATTACAACAGTGATTTCGATTCTGATATCAAACACCTCTAAGATAAGGTTGAAAATTAGAATGGTACGATTTGCCGACGTCGAATTGATTCGGAGGAAGTTGAACTCATTAAGATACAGGTAAGTGAAGTACTGCCTACAACGATGCTCCGAACCAGGAGTAATGGATTTCGGAAGCCACGCAGATCCCCTATCGACTCAGCATTAACATGTAAACAATACGCATGCTTCTTGCCTCTTAAATTTCTCAATATCACGAATTACATTAAAATAAGATGAACAAAGAGTCCCTGTTCGTCGCTATACTGACAATTCTACTATTCTTATTTTAATTTAATTCTTCCATTTCTTTATTGATACCTGTTGTGGAATTTGTATCTGCAATCGTCGGCAGCTACGATGTCCATTAGCAAAATGTACTTTGCTTTTTTATCAAGACCAGAAACGCGAACTTTGTAGGCAGGAAACATACGTCTGCAAGCAACACGAGAGAAAAACATGGGTTGGGACTCGTTCTTTGCGACAACGATTTGACATCACGTCGATTGTAAGACATGTTGTTGAACTAGTTTCACTTTTTACCTCCATTTAGTCCCGAGAAGCGTTCCTTTTAGCTTGTGATCTTGTACCGCGTTAATTAGTCCGTTTTTGTTTCGCGCTGGACACAGATATTCGCTAACTTAGCCACTGCCAAAGTTTGTCCGACCGAGTGCGTGTTATATACGATGTATGCTATATGTGGCTGTAATCAGTGAGTGGCAACACCGCAAGGTGTTGCGAGGTATTCATACTACAAAAAGGTCATGTTTCCGTGAGAGAAGACCAAAAATGGCAAGACCTCCATTGTGAGAGACTATACCGCCCCGACGACGTAGGTCGACAGTACGCACGAGTGATCGAATTCGTGTTACAAACATCTTACAGACCATAACAACGCAGTCTTCGTACCTTTTCCAGTTAAAACGATTTATTGGCAGGTAAATTACCGGAGAGATTTGTAATAATTAATTACCATATTAACGGCGCTAGGCAGGAGTCTCTTTGTCGGCTCGCTGTATCTCTTTAGTGCTGACTCACAGTCGCTTCGACCGGAATGCTCGGGTCGTATTAATTAACGGATATTAAATCGGAGTTTATCGGCCACATCTCGATGTTGCCAAACCCGCGTGTCGGCGGTTTTGATAGTCGTCGATCGGGCGGACATAAAGCGGACAGACGAATCTTATCGATTCTTGTCATCGGGAATTAAACAATGTACGTGATCAAATACGATGATTATCGATGCGCCCCCGACGGCCGATGTCGTAGGCATTTAGACAAGCTGGTTCTCGTTACCGAGGAGATACACTTCTCGCGCAACGTTTCTCACCTCCGACTTTTTACGTTACCGCCGCGGCGTTTGAGACAAAGATATTTTAATGATATTACCCATTGGACGCGAGCTGAATCCTTAATCGTGGACGTTTCCAACCGTGTTCGCTCGTCGTAAAATGTCATTGACCTTAAATTAAGTTTGTTTCTTACAAATTGTTTAAGCGCAATTAGGAGACGGACTGACTTTTTAGCCAGTGATGGGAAGTAGAGCATGCGTGGGTAGAATCACAAGTTAAAAGTAAAGTGTAACGGTACGGTATTAGAAATAAGGTTTACAATCGACTGTGATGGCGTGATGCCTAGACTTGGGACAGATGAGGTGGATAGTGCGCTCCAGGCTATATGGCGATGTGGTCTACCTGTTGTGGAACTTATATCGGTAGTCATCTGCTGCGACGATGTCTAGCAGAAGGATGTATTTCGCCTTCGCGTCCAAACCGGATACGCGAAACTTCATTTGTGGGAACATTTGTCTGTAAATTGGAATTGTTTACGTTTTACTCGGACTCTTCTTCACCAATTCTATAAATTCACGGTCAGGTGGTACCAGACTTTTTGAGTTTAGCAATTACCTATGACTTAAATATATATAGATGATTACCGTTGCTCATTACATCCGTCCAAGTTCACTGTATTAAATAACTAGTAGTGGTCATAGTTTTGTGTGACACATTAATTACGAAGAAATATTCTCCTGCATCCTTATATCGAAACCTTGTGGTGTACGTGATCTGGCAGTTGATGTAGACTACATACAAGACGAACATGCAAGTTTTTCTTGAAACATTTGCTGCCATATAGTACACTGGTACTAGATTACATAATTAATGAATGCATATTTACATACAAGTCTTATAAAAGGGAAAGGTTGTTAATAACCGTCATATTTATTAGCGCAAAAAGGCGGCAGAATCAAATTGCATGAATGGATATATAGACACCCAAGAAGACAAGACTAGAACTATAAAATAAACCTGTTTCTTATTTTTTCTTCTTACTGTTTTATAGTACACTATAAGCGTTGTTAAAATAAGCGTATCAAGATTAAATTTATACCCTTTCATCGAATGGTGATTAAGTAACCAAACTTTTTAATAGTATCTATCAGATAATTCAATTCGAAAATTTTTGTAGCCGTGGGCGGTTCTATTTCAAAGATTGCTAGGATTCTGTCATCATGTCGTTATTTCAAACGTTTTATCTGGATGTTGTATCATTCTGTTAATAAAATCCATTTCTGCCTGCACTTTTATTTGAATGTTATGTTCGTTAAAATACTGCGTAGTGATCGCTGTTACTTCTTAAAGTGGAAATTGAATATTTTTTGTTGGTTTAGTTATGGTTTATCAAGTGTTTAACACTTTACCTACTAAATATATGCAACTTTTTTTCTCTTTGAATAGCTTGAGTCACAACCTCTGTTGTAGCTATTTGTGAAGAAATCTTAATGTTAAGTTGATGGTGATTTATGTAGTGCTATCTGTGTTAGTATGGTGAATACGAAGTAGTTTTTTGTTATACCATTTAAAACTTTATGTCAGTGTAACGTGGTTTGTAAAACGAAATGATTTTTAAAACAATCTTTATCTAAGTACATAATTTTTCATTACTTTTATTATAATGATTGTAAATTCTCATATTTAAAAAGTATCATAGTATTCATTGTTGTGTATACAACTGTATGGTACAGTTATGGTTTTTTTAATCAAAAGACATTGGGAACATTTTGCCCCGCTTATCGAAAAGTATCAGACACAAACGAAACTTATATCAATTGATTAATATATTCACTTAACTGTGCAATATTAATTTCTAAAACCTATGGGAATGCTGAGAAATTAAGGTTTTTCTATCAGCGAAACCTGTAAGGTTCTTATGACCAAAAGCGTAAGCACGGGTGTGTTTTAGCCAGTAAGTGACCTACCATACGGGCCCAGTGCGGGTTAATGGGTGCTAATGACTGCAGAAACAGCCGGGACCGACGGCTTAACGAACTAGGCTTAGCAACATGCCTTTCGAAGCTCGAAAGATCTCGAGATTATAAGTTTTGGTCACCCATCCAACGATCAACTTTTGCGGGAGTTGCTTAACTTTCACGACTGCAGGCCGAACGCCTCCCCCTGTGTTATCGAAAAAACAAAAAGTCTTCTAACTAAAATAATAATAAAAAAAACAGACTGCTTGAGTTTGTGTGGTTTGTTTGTTTTCAAAGTACAATTATTGTAAGTTTTTCTCGTTATATCTCAATATTCCCGTGGGTCACAAATATGCGCTCAAGGTCAACATATCTATGGGTCTAGAGGTCTAAAGCTTTAAAATGAGATAGAATTCATCTCTGCCCGTTGTGGGGAATTTTTCCATAGTAAAGTTCCCATCGCCTTTAATGTTGTCAAATTTTTAATCTTACCTTAAAATGCTTCTTATATCTAAAGGTTGTTAAAAATGTACATTTCGTTAAGTACAGTAGCGAGTCAACTTACGTTCTTTGCGAGTTAAGTTATTATCATCGTTTGGACAGGGATTTGCCAGTTAAGTACATACTGCTTAACTGTCCAATTACAAAACTCGTTACTGTATTTACCGAAGTGTTGACTTAAGGTGCATTGGCCGAGATAGCGAAGAGTGTTAGTTTAATGGTGTCGATTCTGGCGCGATTCTGTAAACTTAAAACTAAATTTAACATCAGTCTCTCCTTTTCATTCTGTATAGAGAATGACAAGGATACACTGTTGTCAAATTTAATTTAAAGTTTAGTACAGCACGCCAGAATCAACACCAATACCTGCCTTATATCTGTGCAGCATTGGACCGGGCTAGTTATATATAACAATAACTGATAGAAATAAAATGATGTCTACCTAGATCAGTATGGTAGACTATATATAATGACTGGTCCTTTAAGCGGAATTCTTCATTTGTTTATCTGTAGTAAATTCATAATTAGTTTTCTACTGAATATGATTCCACAATGCTATTAAATAGGTGTTAAGTAATAAAAAAACGACTTTAAAATAATACAAATAAATATATTTCAAATCAACAGAAAAAGTTTCAAATGTATAGTGAGTGAGTGGCACAGCAAAGAATTGCACACCAAAACCTTGATGTTTTGTTGAATTTTTGGTGAAACTGCTAAAATACAATTTTCATTTATACAGTAGTTATATTTTACTAATTATGTCAATAAAATGAAACATTAAGTTAGAAAAAACGTGTTTAAGGCACTTGTCCCTTAATGACCTTTTATCATGCACGAATCGGACAATCAAACTTTGAATTTGTTTCAAAAAATGCCATTGTAGAACTAAATTTTTACTGAAGATTCAAGAATTGCCATTGCCGTGGTGGGCGAAGAAATGGCAAGATCTAAAAAGCTTGAACTTCATTTTTACTATTAACATCTTTGGTGCAATTGTTTATAGTAAGTGTACAAATATAATTCATTTCACGTCACAATCACAAAATATTACTCGCAGAGTTTAAAACGAGATGCATATTATTTGGTTAGATGTGTCTATAAGATATGGTTGCATTTCTAGTTGAACTTTATAAACATGGTTTCAATATTAAGATATTGTATTCATAAGTTGAATTTGCATCCGTTACGCCGTATAAGGGTAGCCGTGATCATGAACACGAATAACTTTATGTAACGATTCAGTATAAAAACCTGTATTTTGTCAAGGAGAATATTGATATTAGATTATTTATTTTAAATGATATCACGAGGGATATCAGTGCAGTAACGTTAACTTGCATTTTTTTAATCCTACTAATATTTAAATGTGAAAGTTGAAAGTTCGTTACTTAATCTCGCAAAAATTACTGAACGGATTTAGATGAAATTTGGTCTGCATATAGTTTATGATCTGGATTGAGACACGATTTTATCCACTTTTTATAAAGGAAAATATTAGGGTTCCTGTGAGATTCCCAATAAACTAAAGTTAACTTGGACGAAGTCGCAGATAAAATAAGAAGTCGCTGATAAAATTTGTATTTTAGCTTCCACGACCAAGGTACTTTTTAAACAACACCTATTTATTTTTTCTATTTATCATATTTACTATGTCTAACCCTCATCTATCATATTCTTTTCGACTTTAATTCGGCTTATTACTTCTTTTTTGAGTGTTTAAATAAAAAAGAAATGTTCCAATTGAAATTAATGTTCTATTATGGAATCCAATTATAATCAAATCAACCAAAAATCGTTACATTCAAAGATGTGTACAGTTTTATCAATCGATTTTCAAATGTATGATAGGTCCATTGAAAACGTTCATTGGGAAATTCGTAAGTCATTTTGGATAACATCTCGTGATAAACTATTGCACTAAAAGTATTTGCATCACGAGCTAAAGTAATTGGATGTTATGTGGCATTTTACAATTTTAGCTTTATTTACCTATTTAGATTTCATTTTATGGGAGTTCCAAATAATTCGGCTGTTTTATACCTGAGCAGGTTATAAAAACCATCCATTAGCTAACAGGATTTATAGCAGTCTAGATGTGGATGGCCATAAACCGCTTTATTAGTATTTTATTCGATAGAAGTGATTCATTTATCACTTTTTACGAGGTTTTATAAAATATACAAGTTGTTAAATCATATTTTATACCCCGCATGTAAAAGTATTATAAAGTGTGGCGTGCCTTTTAATTAATACTATTAAATCTATAAAATACTGGCACACAATGCTGCAAACCCACGCGCATATCAATAGCTGTATTCGAGTATATTTTTTGTTTTACATAGTACATATAGTTCAAGGTGTGCAAGGTTTTCGTTGTATACGAAATTCAGGATTCCTTTATCCGTAAGGTTAAAAGAAGTAAGTCTTAAAGCAAGCCATACACGCTAGGATATACCTGACAGGTTTACCTGTACAGTTTAACTGCATAGGTAAACTTGAGTTTAGTAGAGACCATACACGTAGTGGTAAACCTGCAGAAACTTTCAGCTGAAACCATGACCCCGGTCGCTCTAACAATCACCGGACAACTGACAAAATATCAAAATTCATATCTTTTCGATTTGCCTGTACAGGCGTGAAAACCTGCGCAGTTATGTGACATACACGCTCCAGTTTACCTGTACAGTTAAACTGTACAGGTAAACCTGTCAGGTAAACCTGTCAGGTAAACCCTAGTGTGTATGGCTTGCTTGAAAGAACAGGAGAACATCCATGTTAATACACTGGCCTACAAAACTAAGTAACACATTTTTAAAATTTATTTTTTTTTTCCAAACCTCCGAAGTTATAGATTTAAATAAAAACGATTCTTAGCAAATTTTATCAGCTTTCTTTGAAACTGTAGTTTTAAAATATATCTCTGTTTAGAGTCCTTTTCATTTCGAAAGTATCTATATCTTGTGTTACCTACACAAAAATTTATAGCAATTTTAAAAGCGTGATACTTATTTTTGCTACCTAGTGTAATAAAATACTCGTGTCGTGTCTTCGTAT